GTGGAGCTGTCCATGCATTGCACTGATGCTACATGTATATTGGTCAAGGGACAGAAAGTGTGGGTATGTGTCCAGAGTAACATGTTCCTGGCTCTCTGGAGGGAAAAATAATGTTGCTGACCTGGAAAAGCAAAGACAGGGGGGAAAGATTGGCTGATGAGATCCCTGAAGACCAAATAGCCAGGTTTCAGCTCCTCTCTGAGATCGTCTCCGCTGTTCTGGAAAATGGGGGCCCTATGAATTTAGGGCATCATTCTGAGGTAGAGTGAAATGATCCATTAGAAAGGACCTATTCCTCTGAAGATAACCATGCCTCCTCTTGCACTGAGAATGTGCTTCCAAGAAGTAATGGGAGGTTCGATCATTAGAAAGATTGATCATGAAAATCCTCCACAGAAGCACTATGTGTGAAAATAGCTGGCTCCAAAATTAATTTAGTAATAGGAATATGTTATTGTCCTTCCAGACCAGAACATTGAAGGTGATATTGAGATGGAGAATGAAATCAGGGAGGCCTCCAACAAAGGAAGTGCTGTAATAATAGGCAACTTCAACTATTAGTATATGACTGAATAATTGTATGATCCATTTCTAACAGAGAGGTTAAATTTCTTGATGACCTAAATTATTTTTCCTTAAAAGAGCTGGTTATGGAAACAAGAGGGACGAATACTAGATTTAATCCTAGGTAGAGTTGTCCAGGACATAGTACAGGATGTAATATTGAAGCAGTTAAAAACAGTGACTGCAATGCTATCAGATTTAGGTGGAATATTGCTAAAGAGGCCCAACATACTTGCATTTTACTTCAAAAGAAGAAACATCTATAAAGTGAGGGAACTTGTGAAAATAAAACTTGAAAAGGGGAAGTCAGGAAGGTTAAATCCTTTCTAAATACCTGATTGCTCAAAACTGCAACTTGCTCACTGTTATGGCTTATGACCGTTATGTGGCCATCTGCCATCCTCTGCAATATTTCCTAATCATGAACAGAATCCAATGCATCCAAATGGCAGCAGCCTCTAGGGGAATCAGCTTGACCCATGCATTGCTAGAGACAATTATCGGTTTCAGGTTAAATTTCTGTGAGGTCAATATTATTGGTCAGTATTTCTGTGACATCCTTCAGTTGCAAAAGATTTCTTGCACCAATACAAAAGTCAGCCAGATTCTGATTCTTATCACTGTGCTCACTGTGGACTCATTATGCACAGGATTCATCTTTGCTTCTTATGGCTACATCTTCTCTGTTGTGCTTAAGATTCCATCAACTGAAGGCAGATCCAAAGGTCTACCTGCATTCCTCACTTGATCGTCTTTATTCTGTTCATCAGCACAGCTGTGTTTTCATACCTGAGGCCAAAATCCCTGTCCTCTAGAACCATGGACTTGCTGTCTGCAGTTTTGTACACAGTTTTGCCACCTCTACTGAATCCCATCATTTACAGCTTAAGAAACAAGGATATTCAGTGTAGTATATGGAAGATATTAAAACAGCTGTAAATATATGTACATCTGTATGTATGTATGTATGTATATGTACCCTGACCTGATTTTTTAGCTCCATGTCACACATATCACAATTCTGTTCTTGCAAGGTGTTTGTGCTCAGTTTTAGAACATTTGACCTCTCCAGGTGAACCCACATCTATGGCCCACATTATTCAGGATGGTCTTCAGCAATCTGGAGAGTCCTTTCTAATGTGCAAGGAGCTGCAGTTTGGTGTGAGGACTGGAGGAAGATGCTCGCAAAAGCATCCTTTTGCTTTTCCATTAGTTGATGCAACTCTCTGTTTCCGGTTGCCCACAATCTTCACATGAAAATTGCTCTGTCTTTAGATACCTGAAGAGGGTTGTTAGCCCACTATTATCTGTAAGGATGATATATGTTGGTAGAAACTATGCATTTTATTTGTTCAAAATGAAATAGTAGCACCTGTCTTTCTTGGTTTTTTTATTTTTCATCGGTGTGATTCTTACTAGACATATGTGTGCAAGATTATATTTATTCTAAAGGTATACACTAGTCTTGGTAACCTGGAGGTTTACAGTCATTCAGCCTCACACTTTCCATGGCCCATAGTCCTGTTGGCAAGCATCAATAGGACCATTTGCTGAGGTACAAAACCTTTTTCAGCCCAAGGACTAAATTTCAGTTCAGAGAAAATTCTATGACTCCATTCCAGGTCCAAAGACAAACTGGAAGAACCTAAGGTACATTTGATATAGTCAAAATATTGGAAGTCCCAGCATATTTCAGTTTAAAGTTCTTAATGCAGCTCACCAAGAATCAGGAGAGGACCCCTCCACCCACCCAAACACACTCACTTTTAGACTGGGGAAAACATTGCAAGTAACAGCCAAACAATCATGTGCTAGGAAAGGCATGAGGCCAGGAGGAGGACATGGAGAAGTCCCAGAGGGGTCCAGACCTGAGGTTCAGCATCCCTGGCATAGGGCTAATGGACACAGAGACCCATTGTTGTGCCATGATGGGTACAGGGTGGAGGTTTCCCAGCAAACAATGCAAATGGTGAGTAAAAAGAGCCCTGCCCTGGTTTGCTCATTTTCATAAGGACTGCAGAATTCTTCACAGGATGGATTGGCTCCGTACATAAAGCCACATCCTTGATCCTTCATAGAGCCAGCATAAGTCAGAAATGGCAGCACATAGCAGCAGCAGCAACAACAACAAAGGCATTGTTCTCTGTTCTATAAACAGAATAAAGGATATAATATAGAGAGGTGACCATGAGAGTATGGAATATTAATAGCAAATTAGTACCAGAAATCTCTCTCTTTCTCTCTATTAAGTAACCTTCTCTAGCCTGGTATGATGCACTCCAGATATACTGGACTGCAATGTCCACCATCATAAGCCAGAACGGCCATTGATGTCACATCTTCCAAACTGAGGACAGAACATATAAGATCCATCAAGGATGTCCAAAAGAGTGGTACCATTTTACATAGACATTATTAAACCAAAGGAGACAATTTCTATGGACATGTGAGTATATGCATGCAGAAACATTCCTGTAATTTCTAGCATGCCCCTGCCACCACACCCAGAAATATGACTGTTTTCTGCCTGTGCATGTACAGCTCCTGCTGTTGTTTTCCAGCATGGTAAGAAAAAGCACAAGGTGGATTGTACTAGAGTAGCTGATAACTAGATGCCTTGAGCCTGAGTTCCTTTCAGCCTTACCTCCCACAACCAGTGGCCAAGAATGCTGGGAAATGTAGTCCAAACCTTCTGGAGGTCGCCCAGCTGAGGAAGGCTATTGTAGAGCATTTCTACAAACCTATACCATATCTGATAATGATCTACTGTTGAACCAAAACATGTGTATGTGTGTGTGTGTGAGAGAGAGAAAGAGTGTTTATTGCAAGAGAAGTAGAAGAATCCACACTATGATAACAGTCACCAAATGTATATAAGCCAAGAAAGCCATGGGCAATGCTCAGGTAGGACTTCAGAGTCAGCAGAGAGCCTACACAGAGAAGCTGACTTCAATAGTACTTGGTTTCTATCGTACACAAATGGTGAGTGGTAGAACCAAAGTGGGTTGATTGGTGATTCTAGCAGCACAGGAAAAATGAACATGTGTAGCATAAGCAGGTGTCTTTTGACAGCATAATGTTACTAGCAAGTGTTTGAAAGCCATCTGACTACAAACTGAAATCCCTAGGTTAGTTGAGTTAAAATTCAGAGATGATTAAAACAACTCTTTTAATTGGTCCCATGCCTTCTATTCCTGAGTGGAACCCAGGGCTCTATACAGCAGGTCCTTAGGACTCTGGAAGAGGAGCAGCATTGGTACATCTCCAGTATTTAACTTGATCTTCTTGCAAGAAAGAGGAGTTAAGTGACCATGCAAGATCATTCTCCAAAGATTGTCCCCTTTTATTTATTGATGGTGCATCAAGCTGAGAAATAGAAAGTAGATGGAATAAGAGCTGAATGTACTCAGGTGGTTAGTTTAAAAAGCAAGTAACAAAGAACCATGCCAGGAAAAGAAGGCAGAAGATTCCGGGTCTGTAGGTATCTTGTAATTTGCTGTTAAGCTTGCATGGAGGGAAAAAAAAACAATCACATGAATTTAAAATGTTGCACAGTGGATGGTTTAGGACTAGGAAGATGTTGTGAGAGAGGATGCGAAAAGGGATAGAGACAGAGCCATGGAATCTGAAAAAAAGGATACAAACAGAGGCATTGAACAGAGGAACAAGAACCCAGAATAAGACTGAGTAGTCAATAAGGCAGGAGGACAAAAGAGAGGGGTGTCAAATACTTTCAGGAAAGAGGGAGTTAATATGAGAGGGGACTCCAGCTTCATCAAATCCATCAGTCTGAGGATTTTGGAACAAGGAAAGACAAGTGTGTTATGCAATGAGAGAAAATGAGGTGTTGTTAAGAGGGTGAGTCTTAGTAGTGCAACAAAATAAAATTTAGAAAACATCAGACTATCCTTTTCCCAGCAGTATGGGTGGCCCTTTGGAAAATCCCATGCCCCTAAAAGTAATTTTTTCAGCTTTAGTGGGGCTGGAAGCACACTACAGATCTCTGTTGTTCTTGGTTTCCATGACTAAATACATCATCTATAACTGCTTCTTCCTCTGTCAGGTCTCAATTGTCCGCTGCCTGATTCTCAACTTCTTTCACTGCTTTCTTTTTGTCTCATGAAATATTTCTTTCACTTTCCTCTGCTAGTCTCATATTCCTGGCTCTAGTTTTCCTTTCTCTCACCTACACTCCACAGCAGTTGCTAACACTCTTCTTCCATTGCCTGGGCAACCGGCCACCTTTCCCCTATCTGATCATTTCAACTCCCTCAGTTAGTGGAGAAACAGAACAAACCAGAGGCAGTCCATTGACTGAAATGAGCAAAAAATCAAATCTTCCTCTACTGTCACATTGCCAATATATGTATAGAATAGTTTGATCACATGTTCTTGTTCTACTATTTATCTATTATCATATTTTCTACAGAGTGATTCAGTCAAGTGAAATGGACAACCAATCTACCGTGTCAGACTTCATTCTGCAAGGATTTTCCAATGATCTTGATGGACAAATTTTGCATTTTGTGATGTTTCTGTTCATCTACTTAATAGCCTTAATGGGGAATCTTCTCATCATTATTGTTGTGGGCTTCAACCCTTACCTTCACACCCCCATGTATTTCTTTTTGGTCAACCTATCAGTGTCAGACATTTGCTACATATCGACAACTATACCCAAATCCATGTCCACTGTGTTGACAAATAACCAACGGATTTCTTTTGCTGGATGTGTTGCCCAAGTTTTCTTAGTGGCAGTTTTTGGTAGCTCTGAGCTTGCCTTTCTCACTGTCATGGCTTATGACCGTTATGTGGCCATCTGTCACCCTCTGCAATATATGCTGATCATGAACAGAAGTACATGCATCCAAATGGCAGCAATATCCTGGTTCAGCAACTTGATCAATGCATTATTACATACTATATTCACTTTCAGGTTCAATTTTTGTAGGTCCAATATAATTAGCCAGTATTTCTGTGATATTCCTCAACTGCAAAAGATTTCTTGCACTTCTACAAGAGTCAGCCAGGTTCTGGTTCTTATCAATGTTTTCACTGTGGACTCATTATGCACTGGATTCATCTTTGCTTCTTATGGCTACATCTTCTCTGTTGTGCTCAAGATTCTGCCAGTTGAAGGCAGATCCAAAGCATTGTCTACCTGCATTCCTCACTTGATCGTCTTTATTCTGTTCATCAGCACAGCTGTGTTTTCATACATGAGGCCCAAATCCCTGTCCTCTAGAACCATGGACTTGCTGTCTGCAGTCTTGTACACAGTTCTGCCACCACTACTGGATCCCATCATTTACAGTTTCCGGAACAAGGATATCCAAGATGGCATATGGAAAATGTTAAAATAGATATTTTAAAACTATCTTAATCTGATGATTTAGGCTCCATCACACATATATCACAACTCTATAATTTTGAGCTTTTCTATCAAGAGATGGTTTATTTCTCCTCTCAAGCCCAACCAGCAACTTTCATCCTGGTCTTCAACAATCTGTGAAGACTTTTGTGTGTTGGAAGAATTGCTTTAACATAATGAGATGGGGCCTGAATAGGATAAAATTGATGTGAAAGATGGCGGGGGGGGGTCTTAATAATATGAATGAGAGCAGTTAGGAGTTACATTTAAGGGGTTGACAGATTGCATTTGGAATGAGTTTGTGGGTAGTAAGAGGGGCAGTCTTCTGGTTGGTGGGTGGTATTTTTAAAAGACTAGGAGGAAGTGACTGGGAGGGAGATAGATCACAAAGACCTGGATTTAAGTTTCCTTTTTGTTTTGTTTGTTTTTGTGTAAAGTAACTATCTTTGGCTGGTGAAGTTCAGGAATTCAGAGCAGCCACCTGTGATATGCCAGGAGGCTAATGCAAGATTTTCCAGAAGAAAGTTACCCAAGCAGAGAGTAACATCTCAAATAAACATCTAAGCAGTCAAAAGAAAAGTCAGGAAGAATTGCTCAATTCTTCAGAGAATTGTGAAGAATTCCACAATTCCTCAGAGTCAGAGAATTAAAGTACCAAAAAGCTGAACATGGTTGTGAGTGCATTTGTCTAGGGTGTGCTTTACAGAAGTAGGCTTGAAATAAGGTGTAATTTGGTCAGGGTGCTGATAACCCACTTAGAGCATATGGATGTCTTATGTGCTGCAGAAGAAGCACAGAGTGCAAGGTTGCATCTGCACTCCTCCTGATCTTCATAAAAGCTAGCTGGTCAGCTCCCTGCTTCGGAAATGTTCCCTTAAAGCCTTTAGGATATAGAGAAGCAGCCATCATGTTTTTTCATGTCCTGGAAACAGGATGGATGTGATCTGAGTATAGATTCCCAGCTCCAAATTGAGGTCATTTTCCATCATCAGTGCTGTAAATATGATCAATCCTGTGGTCATCGAGATGTTTTCTAAGCACTATAGGAGTGTTCTGTCAGAAGCTTGTAGGAGAAACTCTGTCACTTGAGTCCCTTGCAAACTGTCAGCAATCATCTAAACTGATATTAGTAATCCCTAATGGACAAAATATCCATCTTCCAAATAAAAATCTGTAACTGTTTATCCTGGATCCAGTTTGGTGCCCATCTCATGCCCAGCCCTCTTAGACCAACTTTTAGAAGGCTTTAAATATTGTACCAGAATTGGTGGCAGTGGCAAAAGCTCAGCTTGTGGAACTATTGTAGTAACAGTGGTGAAAAGCTCTTTAGGGAACAATATATAGTATGTATTATGCATTAGAAATGCACCGAGAATATTCTCCAGTACAGGTACAATTCATCCATGGCATGTAGAAATGAAAGGGAGAGAAAAGCCTTAAGAACATGTAAGAGCAAATAGTAATAAAATCATCAATCTCAATGGATCATGCTACAAATCAAAGCATCACAACAGTTTCCTGAATCCATGCTAGGGAAACTTCTAAATATTTCTTTTTCCCTTAAAAGTTTTTGCAATACTGCCTGAAAGTTGCAAAAGCCGTCTTCTCTACAGTCTCTATTGGGTTGTGTTTCTGTCATCATAGGATAACTACAGAGAAGCTATTGTTTCTCAAAAGTCCCTCCTGACCTTATACAAAGGTGGGATAAGAAGCAGAATAATATAGGGTCAATCTTAATTGGAAAGGAACAGACTTACATAGTTGGGAAGGCCTTTTGGAGAAGTTCTAATGATGACTGGCAGAGAAGAAGGATTCTGGATAAATCTTCGGTATCTCCAAGCAGGTCTATCCTAGTTGTGAGTCCTGGGGCATCATTCTCAGTTGGTCTAGCCAAAGCTGACCCAGATATGTCAGTGGTTCTATTTCAAAAACTGCAGCATCTTATATTCTGCACATTGCAGATCCTAGTCAGTGAAGGGCTTGAAAATATAGTCAATGGTGATTTCCTGTGACTGAGGGTAGTTTGGTCAGCAAAAACAGAACATAACCATTTATCTTTGACAGGCTAAGGTATTCTACATCTTTCTCTGCAGATTTAGCACCCCCCACCAATTCACTAAGCACTGCTAGTTTGCTTTTCTATGCCTCACCTACTACTAATGATTAAAAATTTAGGAATAATAGTATTTCATGATTGAATAATTTGCTAGCCAGTTAAGTTCTTTAGGGTCATTCAGGACCTATCACATGCTGCCCCAAGGGACTTCATAGACCTATTGGAGCCCCACTGTTATATATTTTTCTGAGAACTTCCAAATCAGTTGGATAATTCCTATAAGGTTGATCCCAACCCTATAGATCTCTATGTGAAGGAATGGTCTCATGCTGTCCTACAGTGACACCACTGAAGCCTCTTCTGAAGATACTGTTTCAGGAAACAGAGGACCCTAAAAAGCTTAGGACTTTGGCACATGTTCCCTTTCAAGGCAAGGTCCTTCAACAGATGGTGGCCAACCAGTTCCAGCTACTTTTGGAAGGAACTTATTATCTGGATCCATTTTAGTTGCTTGACAAGAATGTGAGTTTTCTTTGCCTTATTTGACAGGTCTGTGAGTTATATTTCTTCCTCCCAAAGCTGTGTAATCAGAAAAGTGAATCAAGAATTCACAGTCAGCACTTAATATGGATTGGTACCTCCCACTGGAAAGGGATAAGTGCAATCACCTATAACATATCTGAAATGAAAGGTTATGCTTCCAAGTCAGAAGGGAATAGAGCAAGCAAGAAAGGTAAACCACTGAATTCACAGGATTTTCCAGGTAGGCCTTGCACATTAGCATGGGACTGTGAGGCTCTCCAAGGAATTCTTCTCTCAAACAATGCAGAAAAGAGGCATGATGTAATTACACCCTTCTGCATCTTCAGGTATAAGAAGTGCCTTCTCTTGAAGGGCTGCTTCAAGCCCTCCGGCATTCTGAACTTCCCATCAAAAATGAGGGGTAAGTAGACTCCTCTAAACTACTTGCTTGGGAGATTGGAGTGAGAAGACTCTGGACACTCAGAAGGTCACTTCTGAAAACCCTGTGAAATCAATGCAAGTGTGGGCAGTGTGATACTGGGATGTTTCAGAATGGTGGAGGTGAGTCTGAATCATGGAGCTTGGATCCCAGGAAACTAATTCTAGCTCAGTGTCAGTTGCATGTCATTTGTGTTCGAAAAAATGAGTTTACCTGTGCTTTTTCCTGATTGAAACACTGAAAATACCATTAAGTCCTGCTTTGGAAAAGTGACATAGTATCTCATATTCACACAGTGCAAAAGAAGACCCTTTCTTCAACCCCATTCCACATACTAAAAGGTTGATTTACCTGTCAATATCTAGGAACAAATTCTGCAAGGTTTGAGTTCTGTTTGCTTGTACATCTGATCATTCTTAACCTTGTGTGAAACCAAGATAGAATTTCCAGGTCTTGTATTCTTTTTTATTATTATTTGTAAGAATGTAAGGACATTTGTGTCCTGGGATAAGGGTAAAGAATGTTTTTTTGCAGAAGGTGAACATGGTTCAAGAGAAGCCTACTGGAGACGGTATACTGCAAGCTGCCACATATCCAAGCAGCAATGCTGCTTTTAAGAAACAGTTCCGTTTTCAAACCACCATCAAAACTCAAAAACCACCAGCTTTCTGTAGTGTTGTTTGAGTCATTACCAAACCCTGACATAACTTTTTTTTCCTCTTTTTGATTCTTGCATTCTGAAAGGGTGGGCCTTAGTATGTGTTGCCATAGGTATTTGAGGAGGTACATCTATGCATGCTCCTAATATTCATGTTCTGAGTTTCCACTTTCTGAGGAAGGTTCCTTGTGTCAGTTGAATGTAGGGTACCGTATGTCTGGAGTCCTATATGACTCTCACAAAAACAGGCAGACCAGAACCAGGCTTGCATAAAGCAGTAATTTGGGAAAATCAGCATTTTTGTGGATTTGGGGGAGAACAAACACTTCAATAATAGCCTTCATTATCTGAGAATATGTATTAACACCAGGATCATGGTAAATTTGAACACCAGGATCACAGTAAATGTATTTCCTATAGAGGAAATATCCACACGATTTGCTGTGTCTTCTGTGGACTCATGTCCATGTAGCAGACCACTGCTTCATCCAGTTGTAATTATGCCTAAATGCCTTAATTTATAAACTAGAGTTCAGATGATAAAGAAATAAAATTAATAACATAGAATACTGATGTCAGAATATAGACAACTTCCAAATTTTCAATAAAGTTTTGACAATTAGTAATTCTTAGAGCAAAGAGAATCTCTTCAGTCCCTATCCACACCTTCTCCACCCTTTAGAAGCCTCACTTCAGAAGCCCCAAACCCCTATAAGTCACTCTTTTAGCTTTAGTCATTTTTGAAACCCACTACAAAGCTCTGTTGTTTTCCATGACCAGACCATGAACAGCAGTTAAGACTAACTGCTGCTCCCTCTGTCAGATCACCTCTTTGATGCCTCAAGTGCTTAATCACAACTTCTTTCAGTGTTTTCTTTATTTCATGAGGAATCTCTTTTGCTTTCTACTCAGAGCACCAATTGTTTAGTTACAAAGTAGTGCAACTAACATCACGACCCCATGGACAACATTCCTCTAGGCCTTCCTGTCTTCCACCATCCCCCGGAGTTCACTTAAGCTCACACGGACTGCTTCAGTGACTCCATCTAGCCACCTCATTCTCTGCTGTCCCCTTCCTCTTTTTCCGTCAATTGTTCCCAGCATTAGGCTCTTCTCCAGGGAGTCCTTCCTTCTCATTAGGTGGTCAAAGTATTTGAGTTTCATCTTCAGAATCTGACCTTCTAAAGAGCAGTCAGGGTTGATTTCCCTCATTTTGGATCTTCTTCTGTTCCACAGCTGCTGCCAAAACTCTCTTTCCAGTGCCTGGGTGACCTGGCAACTTTCCCCATGTACCAGATCATTTCAATACCTTCTCTTAGTGGGGAAATGAGGGAAGAAACCAGAGGCAGCCCATTGACTGAAATGTACCAAAAATTAAATCTCCCTTTACCACCACATTGGCAATAAATAAATATGTGTAGTACATTATCACATGTTTTTGCTCTTCTGTTCACTTATTTTTATTTTCAATTTTTTTTTACAGAATGGGTCAATCAAGTGAAAGGAACAACCAATCATTTGTGACAGACTTCATTCTGACAGGATTTTCCAATGACCATGATGCACAAATTTTGCATTTTGTAATGTTTCTGCTCATCTACTTAGCAGCATTAATGGGGAATCTTCTCATAATTATTGTTGTGAGCTTCAACCATCACCTTCACACCCCCATGCATTTCTTTTTGGTCAACCTATCAATTTCAGACATCTGCTACATATCAACAACCATACCCAAATCCATATCCACTGCATTAACAAATGATCAAAGGATTTCTTTTGCCGGGTGTCTTGTTCAGGTTTTCTTTGTTGCAGTTTGTGCAGGTTCTGAGCTTGCCTTGCTCACCATCATGGCTTATGACCGATATGTGGCCATCTGCCACCCTCTGCAATATTTTCTAATCATGAACAGAGGTGCATGCATCCAAATGGCAGTGGTTTCATGGCTAACCAACTTGATCAGTGCATTGTTGCATACTTGTATCAATTTTAGTTTACAATTTTGTGGGTCTAATATCATTGGTCAGTATTTCTGTGATATCCCTCAGTTACAAAAGATTTCTTGCACAGATACAGAAATTAGCCAAAATGTGATTATTATCTCTGGGATCATTTTTGGCTCATTTTGCACAGGGTTAATCTTTGTTTCCTATGGATACATTTTCTCTGTAGTGCTGACAATTTCGTCAGTTCATAGCAGATACAAAGCTCTGTCTACCTGCATTCCTCACTTGACTGTCTTTTCATTATTTCTGATTACAGTACTCTTTTCATACATGAGGTCCAAATCTCTTTCCTCTAGAACTATGGACTTGCTCTCTGCAGTCTTGTACACAGTTTTGCCACCACTACTGAATCCCATCATTTACAGCTTCCGGAACAAGGATATCCAGGAGGGTGTGTGTAAAATTATGAGGATCTTTTGAAAACATCTTTTGCAACACTATCCTGACCTGATTGCTCATGATAAATCTCACACATATCACTACTCTTCTCAGGAAAGATTTTGTGCCTGGTTACAGGCTATTTCCTCTTCTCAAACCCAACACACAGAGAAGGCTCCAAATGTCTGGGAGGTTCTGCAATAGTTTTGGGAGGCTTTTATCTGTTGGAAGAAGCTGCAGTTTGCTGTTTAGATAAGAAGGATATTTGAACATGTGTTATTCTCTTTTCATGACCTTTGCATAGACACCTCTGTCACTATTGTCCACAATTAACATTTCTCTTTCCTTAGTTTTTCAGCTTTGGGAAAATGAGAATTTAACTTCTATATTCTCCCTCTGTAGGGGAAAAATGTGGTACTAAGAACCTTAGCTCAGCATTCCCCTGCTTCTTGGTGCTTGCTTGGACGATGACTAGCTTTAACTTTCTTTTTGAAAGCTGCAAGGATCTTGCTTCTTGAATATGAACTAGGCACATTGCTGATTTTCAAGTGTGTTTCTGATAAAACCCAGTTAATTCTTTTGTCCAGGATACTCAATTAAGTCTGCAATCTTTTATTTCCTCAGATAGAAAAGAGATATTCGGAAATGTCATGTCTCCTTATTTTTAAGACATATTCACAGTTACATGTATATCATTCTGTGTAGTTGACAGGTTCAACAATAAGTTATATTGAAAGGCACCATGCTTAAAGTGCTAATTATATGATAGCACCAAGTTGATAACCAATACACTAACTAATGGTGCAGATCTATGCAAGTTTAGATGGACAACGGAACTGGGGAGAGAGAGATGTAGGCCTTTTTTTCCTGTACAAACATGCTTAGAATTGCACACTCAGTCATCAGCTGTCTTAGAGATTAGAGATTTCTTTTAGAATACATAGCAGCAGATAAGAATAAAAATACATAAACTGCTGAAAAATCAGGAAGTGCTGCAAAAAGGTAGCAAAAGTACATCACACAAAACACAAGTGCTCACGTAGTGCCTTCCAGTTAATGCAAATTAGGACGGGTAATTTTTGGGATACATTCACAGTGCCCATCATGTAATCAAGAAGTCTAGATGTTTATTGATAAGGTAGAATCAAATTAGCATTTGTGTACTCTGAGTATTTACTCAGTTCAATCATCTGCATATCTTTCAGAGGTAACTTACATAGGCCCATCTGAGCCCCACTGGTATGGATTCCCTGGGAACTTCCAAATCAGACAGATACTTCCTCTAAGCTTCTTCCCAACCCCATACTTCTCTTTGTGGAGTGGTCCCATGCTGTCCTACAGTGGCAGCATTGAAGCCACTTCTGAAGAAACTGTTTCAGGAAACAGAGGACCCTAAAAAGCTTAGGCACATATTCCCTTTCTGGGCAAGGTCCTTGAGCAGCTGGTGGCCAACCAGTTCCAGCTACCTTTAGAAGGAACTGATGATCTGAATCTATTTTAGTTGCTTGACAAGAATGCAAGTTTTCTTTGCCTTATTTGACAGGTCTGTGAGTTATATTTCTTCCTCCCAAAGCTGTGTAGCCAAGGTATAGTCAGACAAGTGAATCAAGAATTCACAATCAGCACTTAATATGGATTGGTCCCTCCCACATTGTTCAACTGGAGAGGGATAAGTGCAATCACCTATAACATATCTGAAATGAAAGGTTACACTTCCAAGTCAGAAAGGAATAGAGCAAGCAAGAAAGGTAAACCACTGAATTCACAGGATTTTCCAGGTAGGCCTTGCACATTAGCATGGGACTGTGAGGCTCTCCAAGGAATTCTTCTCTCAAACAATGCAGAAAAGAGGCATGATGCAATTACACCCTTCTGCATCTTCAGGTATAAGAAGTGCCTTCTCTTGAAGGGCTGCTTCAAGCCCTCCGGCATTCTGAACTTCCCATCAAAAATGAGGGGTAAGTAGACTCCTCTAAACTACTTGCTTGGGAGATTGGAGTGAGAAGACTCTGGACACTCAGAAGGTCACTTCTGAAAACCCTGTGAAATCAATGCAAGTGTGGGCAGTGTGATACTGGGATGTTTCAGAATGGTGGAGGTGAGTCTGAATCATGGAGCTTGGATCCCAGGAAACTAATTCTAGCTCAGTGTCAGTTGCATGTCATTTGTGTTCGAAAAAATGAGTTTACCTGTGCTTTTTCCTGATTGAAACACTGAAAATACCATTAAGTCCTGCTTTGGAAAAGTGACATAGTATCTCATATTCACACAGTGCAAAAGAAGACCCTTTCTTCAACCCCATTCCACATACTAAAAGGTTGATTTACCTGTCAATATCTAGGAACAAAGTCTGCAAGGTTTGAGTTCTGTTTGCTTGTACATCTGATCATTCTTAACCTCCTGTGAACATGGTTCAAGAGAAGCCTTGCCTCCTATTCTGTGCCCACTGGAGCCGGTATACTGTGAGCTGCCACATATTCAAGCAGCAGTGCTGCTTTTAAGAAACAGTCTTGTTTTCAAACCACCATCCACTCTCAAAAACCACCAGCTTGAGGCATTACCAAAACCTGATATTGCATAATTAGCTGTGCTGTGTCTCCTGTGGACTTAAGTCGGTGCAGCAGACCATTGGTTCTTCCAAATATAATTATGTCTATATGCCCTAGTTTATAAACTAAAGAATTCAGATAATGAAGAAATAGAATTACTTAGAATACTGATGCCAGAATATAGACAACTTCCAGATTTTAAATAAATAAATTTTCAACAATTAGTAATACTTACAGCAACGTGAGTCTCTTCAAATTCTATCCAAATATCCCCCACCCTTTAGAAGCCTCACTTCAGAAACCCCAAACCTGTGTAAGTCACCCTTTTAGCTTTGGTCAGGTTTGAAATTCACTACAGAGGTGTGTTGTTTTCCATGACCGGACTGTGAACAGCAGTTAAGAGTAACTGCGCTCCCTCTGTCAGATCTTTGGTGGTTAGTCCTCTGATGCCTCAGGTGCTTAATCACAACTTCTTTCACTGCTTTCTTCGCTTCATGAAGTATATTATTTTATCACATGGTTTTGCTCTTCTGTTTAATTATTATTAGATTTATTTTCTGCAGAATGATTCGATCAAGTAGAAGGGACAACCAGTCATCTGTGACAGATTTCATTCTGGCAGGATTTTCGAATGACCGTGATGCACGTATTTTGCATTATGTGATGTTTCTGCTCATCTACTTGACAGCATTAATAGGAAATCTTCTCATAACTATTGTTGTAGGAATCAATCATCACCTCCACACACCCATGTATTTCTTTTTGGTCAACTTATCTGTGACAGACATTTGCTACATATCAACCACCATACCCAGATCCATATCCACTGCTTTGACAAATGACCAACAGATTTCTTTTTCTGGTTGTGTTGCCCAGGTGTTCTTAGTTGTATTTTTTTGGTGGTTCTGAGCTTGCCTTGCTCACTATCATGGCTTATGACCGATATGTGGCAATCTGTCATCCTCTGCAATATTGTCTGATCATGAATAGTGATGCATGCATCCCAATGGCAGCTGCTTCCTGGCTCACCAACTTCTTGAATGCCTCTTTGCATACGAGCATCACATTTAGTTTGTTTTTTTGTGGGTCCAACAGGATTGGCCAGTTTTTCTGTGATATCCCTCAGCTTCAAAAGATTTCTTGCACTGATATAAAAGTTAGCCAGAATGTGATTGTACTCTCTGGGATCCTTTATAGCTCATTGTGTACTGGCTTCGTTTTTGTTTCCTATGGATACATCTTTTTGGTAGTGCTGAAGATTCCATCATTACAAAGTCGGTCTAAAGCTCTGTCTACCTGCATTCCCCACCTGACTGTCTTTTCAATGTTTATCATGACTGTGCTCTTTTCATATATGAGGCCAAAATCCCTGTCCTCTAGAACTATGGACTTGCTGTCTGCAGTCTTATATACAGTTTTGCCACCACTGCTGAATCCCATAATTTACAGCTTCCAGAACAAGGATATCCAAGATGATTACTGAAAATATTAAAGACATTTTAAAAACATCTTCTTGAAGAGTTTTGTAACTTGATTACCTAGGTTTGATCTGAAATGTATCACAACTCTTCCCGTATAAGATTTTTTTGCCCAGTTGTAAGCTATTTCCCTCTCTCAAACCCAACAAACAGTAACCCAGGAGTTCTGGCATGTCTTCCAACAATTTGAACATGTTTTTGTGTCTTGAAGAAACTGTAGTCTGCTTTTTAGACAGGAATGGTATCTGTATGAAATCCTTCTGTTTTCCCAGCCATTGTACCAAACTCAATGTTTCTATTGCCTAGGATTTGATCTAATCAAATTATGCCAGGTATCTCAAGACAGAAGTCTCCCTAGAAGCCAAAATGGCAAAAATGAGGTTGTCATATTATGGATACATCATAAGAAGGCAAGACTCACAGAAGAAGACAATAATGCTAGGGACAGTCAAAGGCAGAAGAAGAACAGGATGACCAAATATGGGATGGATTGACTCCATAAAGGAAGTCATTGCCATGAACTTTGAAGAGTTGAGCAGGTCTTTCATGGGTAGGACATACTGGAAGACTTTCATTCACAGAGTTTCAGTAAGTCTGAGATGACATGAAGGTATATAACAATAACTTTAGAGACCTGGAAAGGGCTATATCTCCCCTACAGTTCTTCCACTGTAAGAATTTCACTTCTACTTTCTGCCTACTTAGGGAAAAGATGTGATATTAAAACTTCTGAACTGTAGCTCATAAATACCATGCCTGTTGGTGCTTGATTGTAAGTTGTTGAGCCTTAACTTTCCTTTTGTAAACTGCAAGGATTTTATTTATTGAGTATTGACTAGGCATAGCACCAATTTTACAGTATGTTTCTTATAAAACTCTATTTAACTAATTTGCCAAGGTAACTCAATGAAGTCCTCATTTTTCTATTTCCTTGGGCAGAAAAGAGCCATTGGGGAATGTCATGTTTCCTTATTCTTTAGACATGTTCATAGCTACATGTATATTTTTTTGTGTCTCTACATTAACTGATAGCTAACAGGCTGCCAGTTACTGAAAATCTTTATTGAAAGCACTATGAATCTGAATTTGAATCTAAATAATCTAAGCAATCTAAGCAATCCAAGTAATATAAATCTAAATCTAGGATCATGTACTTAGCCATCAACTGCTAAAAAATCATGGGCAAACAAGTGCTACAAGAAGGTAGCAAAAATACATTCCACAGAACACACATGCTCACATTGTGCCCATCTGACAATGTTCATTAGGATAGGTAATTTTCGGCTACATCTACAATGCTGTCTATGTTGCCAAGATGCTTTTTGTGAAGTAGAATCAAACTTATTTACTTACTCTGGCTGTTCACTCAATTCAATTGTCTGCATTTTTTTTTCCAGAGGGAATTTTCCACTGCACTCTGTGCAACATTCTTTCAAGCAAATCTTTAAAGAATGCTGGCCTCAGTGTAGCTTCTTTTCCATTGTTGTTCCCTTTGTCCCTGAATGCATTTCACATAGCTGGGGGATCCTATAATGGCCTTAAATGTACTACACAAAGCATACTTGGTGCACTGGAACCCAGAGAACCAGGATAACATGATTTAAAAAAAAAAAATCCACAACTGCAAAATAGTTTCGACCCACTTTGCATCCAGTGCTGCTCCTCTGGGGATGTAAATATCCTTAATTGTTTTTGTTGTGAGCCGCCCTGAGACTTCGTTACGATGGGGGTGGCATAAAAATGTTTTAAATAAATAATAAATAATTATCAACCAATATACTATTTTCATTAGTTGAAAGGCGAAAGATTTATACGATCTGAAGAGAAACCAGAGTATTATTACTATTTTCATTAGTTGCTGCATGAAGAAAATCTTTTTAAATTTTATATTATTTTTTCAAGTGAAGATAGAAGAATGTGTGCTTTGATAATAGCCACCACATGTGTATATGCCAACATTCCAGTGTGCATAGCAAAGGCACAGAGTAAGAATAAGAAAATAGACAAGGGGGTGCACCATTGTTGAGTAATGGAATAAAAGTGGTTTGACCAGATATTCCCGCAGGAGAGAAGTGGTGATTGCGTGCAACACAAAGAGTTATATAATGCTATAGCATCCCTTGCACAGTTTGGAGGGCAGGGGGAACCTGCCATCTGTGCAAATCAAATCCAAGTCTCTAGTTTAGTTTCATGAAGGTTCAGAGACAGCCAAAATAATTTGTTCAGTGGTTCCATCTCATCTGCTCCTGAGTAGACCTCTGGACTCCAGAGAGTAGGACTTTGGAACTCAAAGGGGAACAACAATGGCTACATCTCCTGCATGTAATCCGATCTTCTTAGAGGAACAGCACAATAAATGGCCATCCAAGATCTGCCCCTGTATTTTTATTTATTTATTACTTATTAAAACATTTTTATGCCGCCCCATTCGCCGAAGCCTCGGGGCGGCTTACAAACAATAAATAAAAGCAATTATAATATAAATTACAACAAATATAAACATTAAAAATCCAAAAAATACAATATAAAATAAGCCGCCCTGGCCAGATAAGATCAAATAATATTAACAGTTAAAATGACGCTTAAATAAAAAGGTCTTCGCCTGGCACCGAAAAGCAAATAACGACAGCGCCAGGCGGACCTCTCTAGGGAGTGCATTCCATAACTTAGGTGCCACCGCTGAGAAAGCCCTCCTCCGAGTACCCACCCTCCTAATTTCTTTCACGGAGGGTTCCCGGAGAAGGGCCTCTCCCGCAGATCTCAAGGGGCGGCTGGGCATATATGGATGCAAGCGCTCCTTCAGGTAACCAGGACCCAAGCTGTTTAGGGCTTTATAGGTCATCACCAACACCTTGAATTGGGCCCGGACTTCAATGGGAAGCCAGTGAAGCTGACGGTTGTAGGGAAGCTGTAGATTGTTCTTTGCATTTCCTGATGGTACATCAAAACTGAGGACTAGATAGCAAATGGAATATGAGTTGTTGCACTGAGACAAGAGTTCAGTGGCCTGTGGATATTTTCTCTACATTTTGGGAATTCCTATTATAAATACAATCAGTATCTGAGATGTATTATTGGTATATTTTATTTATTTATTTAAAACTTTTCTAGACCATCCCATTACTGAAGTCTCAGTATGGTTTAATAATACAAAATATAAAAATAAAACACAGCATGCTAAAAATTCAACTACCAATAAAACCCCAATTAAACAGTCAGGTCTTAAAACATTGGGAAACAAAATGGTTATGGCCTGGTGCTGTAAAGAATAAAGTGATGGCACCAGGCGAACTTCTCTGGGGAGTGAATTCCACAATTGCAGTATCACTGCAGAGAAGGCCCTTCTCCAGGTAGTCACCCTCCTAATCTCCTTCAGTGAGGGCACCCAGAGAAGTGCATCTTCCCCAGGTCGTAATAGGTGGGCAAGCACATATGGAAGGAGACACCTTTCAGGTAACCAGGCCCTAAGTCATTTAGGACTTTAAATATTAGCTTGGCTCCCTTCACTCTGGTCTGCTGCACCAGGTGCTCACCAGGTATCATGCCCCATGTGCTGCACTAACAGAGTTGATTCTCCATGCCACAAGCAGCAGCCATTTGTGCTACTGTCCCTGACATGGAAGTAAGTTGTTTGCATGGGTTGGAGCCCTGCATGACCATTCTGCAAGCAGCACCCATCTTACATACCACCTGTGGCAGCCTTTGTGGTGCTTCACCTAACATGGAGAATGGTTGCAGGTTAGTCAGCAGTCATTCTTCAAGGATTTAAAAACTTCCACTCAAGACCAGGCAGAACATGAGAGGAAGGAGACCACACTAGATGGACAAGTTTCCTTCCAACCCAGAGCAAGAGTGTCATTGCCTCATCACTGCCAACATCTTAATCGCACCCCAACATTCCCACTTCACAGGACAGTGGAACATACTGGTATGATAGAAATGCACCTGAGTTTTGTGACAGGTTCAATGTGCTGCTGAAAATTAATCCCACATTTTTACCACTCATATATTATTATTATTATTATTATTATTATTATTATTATTATTATTACATTTCTATGCTGCCCCTTGCCGAAGCCTCGGGGCGGCTTACAACACAATAAAATACAATACAATATAAAAATAACAATATAAAATTAAAATTAATAATATAAAATAAATAAAAAATATAAACGATATAAAAGACGTTATAAAAGAAAAGTTATAAAAGAAAAGAAAAGAAGTCACCCTGGCCAGATAAATAAGTAGATATTGTTAACAATTAAAATGACGTTTAAATAAAAAGGTCTTCACCTGGCGCCGAAAAACAAATAATGACGGCGGCAGGCGGACCTCTCTGGGGGGCACATTCCATAGATTGGGCACCACCGCAGAGAAAGCCCTCCTCCGAGTACTTACCCTCCTAATTTCTTTCACGGAGGGTTCCCGGAGAAGGGCCTCTCCCACAGAGGTGAGAGTGCTAAGAGCAGCTAAAAATAGCTGAAAGATGTCGGACAGTCATTGGAAGAAATGATGTGAGAATGGCCCTCAGACTTCCATGAGTGAAAGTTCATTCATAAAGTAACATACACAAAATAAAGTGAGTGTATGTGTAGAGAAGCTCATAGTCTAAATGCTGTGGATGGTCCATCATATCTTGCTTATTCTAGCTCTAAATAGAAATTTGTAGTTAAAAAGGATTTGGTTTGGATACTTCTCAGCTGGCTGGGAAAAACTGAGGAAAGAAAACATGCTACTAAACTTTGATGCATGCTAACAATAGGCAATCCTGCATCCTTGACAGTACAAGATATTTTTAACTTTGGATTCCATATCAGTTCTTCTTTAAATCGTGGTTGCTTTATTTGAGGTCACTTTGGTTCAAAAGGGAAGAGGAAATGTCTTCCTGGCAAAAGTCATTGTGTGTCACTGAGCATTGGTGTCATCCCTAGTGACATGAAGGCATCTCTCTGTCACCAAGGCAATGGAGTACATCACTGAACTCTAAGTTTGCTCAAGAAATGACTCCCTGAAGGACCAGAGGGTGAGCAGGGGAGGGAAGCAATGTGCTACTCCTTGTTGAAGCAGAAATGGGTTCCTATAAAGACCACACTACAGCACATTAAACTGTCATCTTCTGGGAGAAATGCAGGTGAGGAGAATCCCCTTAATTCATCCTCAGCAAAAAGCAGGGTTTCTAAGAACTTTCATTATTAATTTATTTAAAGCTTTTATTATGGAAATACAAAATTAATCAAGTATTGTGCAGTATCACATTTAAGAGTGAGTTTAATGTGGTAAATAAAATAAAAATCTGGTGCATAAAAGTAAATGCTTTTATGTAAAGTAAAACTTAAAATACTTCAGGAGTCCAAAGAGTTTACTTTAGATAGGAGATTGTAATATGGGGCTAGCAATCTGTATAGATACCCATTTTCATAGATTTTGAGAAATCCACATTTGGGGACCACTTAAGTCCCTTTGATTATTGGGATTTCCTGTAAGCATCCAGATCAATCTGGATCTGACCTAAGGTTTAAATAAGGTTTTATTTCTATACACAGTAGAAATGTATGTTGTTTCAGAATTCTTTCTACTGTCCTTAAACCATGTGACATGATTCAAGAAAACTGATTCCTGCTTTCATGTTAATTGGTGTCTACATTTGTATATATGTCTCCATAATAAAGGAAAATCTGAGCATTATTGTTTCCAGAAATAGATACATGCTGCATGCTTCCCCTTCCAAGACTGCATGCACACATGTTTTCTGGCCTGGCTATACAAAATTAGGGAGGGGGAGATTGGCAGGATCAAGATTTAGTCAGAGCGCTCTGCTATGTCCTGTCCATCTTTGGTGCCCCTGCATGGCATAACTCATAGCTTCATTGAGCTAAACAAGCCCCTTTGCCCTGACAAGACAGTGACCCATGAAGGGGGCCTTAAATTTAGCCACTTCTAATTTGACTATCCTTCTGTTCCATTCTGCAGAATGAATCTGATGAGTGAAATGGCCAACCAATCTGCAGTGATAGAGTTCCTTCTGATGGGATTTTCTAATGACCGCCGCATGCAGATTTTGCATTTTGTGATGTTCCTCTTCATTTACTTGATAGCTGTAGCTGGAAATTTCCTGGTCATCATAGCTGTGGCCCTGGATCACCACCTTCACACCCCAATGTACTTCTTCCTGGTCCACTTATCAGTTCTAGATGTCTGCAACATCTCCACCACAGTCCCCAAATCCATTAGCAATTCATTGATGAACAACAAACGGATTTCTCTGGCTGGGTGTGTCACACAGATATTTTTAGTGGTCACATCTGTTGGTGGGGAGCTTGCCATGCTCACCATTATGGCTTATGACCGTTATGTTGCCATCTGCCATCCGCTGCAATACAGCCTAATCATGAACAGAAATGCCTGCATCAAAATGGCAGCAGCTTCCTGGATAAGCAACGTCATCCATGGAGTGCTGGAAACCAGCTTAACTTTCACACTAAACTTCTGTGGGGCCAATACGATTGGGCAGTTTTTCTGTGATATCCCTCAGTTACAAAAGATTTCTTGCACTGACACAAAAGCCAATGAGCTTGTCATTTTGGTCCTTGGGTTCATTTTGGATTCATTCGTGTTTGTGTTTATTTTTGTTTCCTATGGATTTATCTTATCAGCAGTCCTGAAAATTCCATCAGTCCATGGAAGACACAAAGCTTTCTCCACCTGCACTCCCCATCTGGCAGTCTTCTTTATATTTATCATCACAGGTGTGTTCTCATACATGAGACCTAAAGCCCTTTCCTCCCCTGCTCTGGACTTGGTGTCTGCAGTTCTGTATGCAGTTTTGCCCCCCAGTTCTGAATCCCGTCATCTATAGCTTCAGGAACAAAGACATCCAAAGGGCTGTGTGGAAAATCCTTCAAATAACCAAAAATCTCATAGCATGAGAAGAAATATCTACATTTCTGTAGAAGCCTGCAATTCTGCAAACACTCCGAGTGCTTTGGGAGCTCTTACAGGCTGCTATAGGAGTAGATCAGATGATTCAGATGCACTTGCAATATTAACTTTTTGGGTTCTCTTCTTTAGCTCAGACCAACAAAAAAGGTAATTGGAATTTATTTCCTTTCATGGGAATCCAGCCAAAAATGCATGCATCTGCAAAACCACAATTCATGGAAGTGACCTGAATTGCATCTCAAAGTCTATTCCAGTTCAAGTCCAAGTCACTGAATCTGTTCTGAGTATTCTTTATTGCACATGAAAATCTGTATCTATTTTTATGCATATTTTCCCAAATACATTCATCAATTGCACACATTTTGAGATGTGTTCATACTTCTCCCATAGGTTACAACTAACATGTGCACATTGTTTACAAATATGCATATTTATGTTCCATTACAAATGTAGATACACAATGGAAGGCATTACTTTTTGTTCTGTAAATCACAGACTCAGAAATGTTCACATTACAATGCCGCTTTCTATATTCATCTCTTCTCATTCTGGAAGGGACAAAATGTTTGTAAAACTAATTAAAGAATGAACTGTAACAAATTCATCATACTTTCTTAAAATCTGTAGGGTAAGTCTGGTGCCATAAGTGACAAGCAATCCTCTTTATTCATTGGTTGTGGTCAACAAGCAATGGCTTATTGTCACAGCTATATTCTCAGGTGAGATGCATGCAAAAACATTACTCAGAAATCCCATAATGTTGAAAAGGAAAATAACATTGGCAATAGCTATGTTTACACCCACACTGACCCATATACACCCACCCAGATTATCACATGTATGTACAGTATATCTGCACCAATATGCATGATGATAAAGTAAGCATGATCATCATCATCAACAACAACAACAAAATTGGGGGGGGGGGTGAGTGCCTCTGGCAATACAAATGAAAAGCCTGAATGTTGGACTGAATGTTGCCACCATCAGCTTAAAATCACCATAAGACAAGACCTTCACTTTCAGCTGTTACAAGTCAATTCAGGATGATCTTTTTTCCTGAATCACTCTGCAAGAAGAATAATGATGATTTGCTTTATCACCTTTTAATTATCATAGCTATGGTTTCCCCAAATGCTTTCAGATTTTGGTGGAGGGAAGGGTCTGCTTCTCATTCTGGAGGCCAAATCAGATCAAGATGACAGTACTTAACCTCATTTTGTGCCCTGATTTAGGCCTTTTGAGTTAATAAACTTTGGAGGGGGTTATGTGATGCCCAGGCAGATTTGTTGTATGTAAAGAAAAATGGAAAAGGCAGGGATCTTAAATTTGGAGGCAATGGTTACCAGAATGCATTGACAAAGTCCTTGAAAAACCAGATGCTTGGTATTTTTATACACACACAAACACAGCATTCCTCTTATTTATTTATGTAATTTCTACACTGCACTGGAGGTGAAGCATTCTGGGAAGTTAAAAACCTGTAAAATAACCACAAAACAAAATACAGCTATACACATAGAGTTCATTGTCGTAATTTAACCTGGAGATTACCAGAGCATAGATTCCTGAAATCAGGTCTTCCTATCCAGGCAGGGTCACAGCTGGGATTACCAGCCTTAGCTGGTTGAAGGCACTCCATACCACTAAGGCCACCTGAACTTCAATTGACCAAGATATCTCCTGGAACACCACCATGCTATCAACCTTCTCCATCAAGGGGAGTGTAATCCCATCCAGAACAGATTGAATCCCTTCCATCTGGTCAGAGGACACGCATGCTAACACCATCTCAGTCTTGCCTGAACTGATCTTCAGCTTGTCAGTCCTCACACTGTCCCTTGTTTCAACCTGTCACCAGTTCAGCCCATCCACACCCTCACTTGCAGAAGAGGGAAAGGGGAAAGAGAGCTGGATGTCATCTATGCACTGATGTCAATGCTCTTCAAAATGCATTCTGGATGAGTCCACTCAGCAGCTTCTATAGATATTAAACAGGTGGGAGACTAAATTGACCCCTGGGGAAATCCATGCTGCAGAGGCCATTGGGCCAAGCAATATTCCCCAAGCACTACCTTCAGGATCCAGTAATCCAAGCAGGAGCATGATGTCTGCAAACAGTATGCCCAAGCCCAGTTCAGACAGCTGCCCCAGAAGGATGCTATGGTTGATGATATCAAAAGCTGCTGAAAGATTCAGGAGTATCAGCAGGGTCACATTCCCCCATTTCTCCTGACACAAGACTGTTTCCAGATAATTAGTCCCATCCAAGAGAGTCTGGAGATGATTGTCAACCACTCCCACCAGGAATGTTTCCAAGAAAGGAAACATTTGTTACAGGACAGAAGTTTTTAAGATCTTCCAGGTCCAGAGAGGGCTTCTCCAGGGAAAGACTCATGGCCACCTATTTTATTAGGCATGGGACAAATTCCTGCCATGAAGAAGCATCTATCCCCTCCCTTGGTCCAGACTACTTTTCTTCCCCTTCCAGACTATAGTCAAGAGAGGGAAGCACCTGAGTCAAGAGAGGAAAGCACCCAATCAGGATGTGTTGGCATGAATCTTATGATGAGGGTGGGGGGGGGTGTGGAGCAAGACATTTCCTGAAGCCTCACAGTCAGAGATCTTCTCACTATTCCAGCAAGGGAAAGGTTATGAATTTGCCATTTCATAAATCACACCCTCACCTAAAGACATCCCATGCTGGAGAATCCAAGAAGACAAGCAGTATTCTCCAAATGCTACCCCCACTACCAGCTACCTGAATTTCAGAAGGTTCACAAAGATCTTAAACAGCATGATTTTGGCATAAAATCCCACAGGGTCTTATGGCAAGTGTGCTTTCTATAGAGCAAAGCCTGTCCAGTGATACTGATATGGACTGTTCTCATTTCTTGAAACAATCTAACCCTTAAATATGTGCTTCTTATATATAATGCTGAGCTTTTCTTGGTGCACAGTAATTATTATAGTCAAGTCATGTGGGCACTCTTTATGCTGCTCCTTTTTGTTTTGTTTTGTGTGTTTTTGGTAGCAGGAGGTGGTCATTACCTTAGCTAATCAGTAAACAGTGAACTTGGTAGTGTTTCCACAGACCACCTGCTTGATTTTTGTACACTTTTAATGGAACTTCCTTTCTCCTGTTGGTCCCCCTTTCCACATACTCACAGCTGACCAGGCTTCCTCCTCCTCCTCACTTTCTGAAATCCCTCTGTTCCCTGAACTTGCCCCCTGGAATCCCTCTCCACTGGCACAGATCCATCCATATATTGTCAAGAGAATGGAGCATATGACTTCATGCAGTGATTCCCCAAGGAGTGACTCTCTGACACACCACAAGGGTGTAAAACACTCCCTCCATCTCACTGCAACATACAGAGGTTCTGACACAGACTGCAGTCCAGGATATCTGCACTCTCAACCGCTGGAACGAACAGAGGTGAGTAGAATCTCTTCATCTGTCCTCAGTAAAGACCAGGGCTCCTTCAAGATGCTGAGTCTTATTTCTGGGTGGCAGTGGGGGGAATGTCCAGGGAAGATAAGCTTCAACAAGGCAATTAAAAATCCAACATAAAAGCAGACACCCTGTTCACTCCTTAGGAAAAGGTGAGGGAAGCCTGGAAGATCTATGTGGATATCCCTATGATGAGATTCTCATTCAAGAATATTTTTGTGAGAAAATCCATACCTTCCTGCTGAAACACAGATTGGTCGAAGTCTGAGAGTGGATGAGGCAAGGCAAGGCATGGGTGGGCTGAGGACAGCATGCATACTTTTAAACATGCATAATTTCTGAAAAATGGACAGAAATAGGGTTTACCTAAGATGTGCACAACTGATGCATCCTTTTGAAGAAAGTGCGCAAAAGGATGAAAAGACAAAAACAGTAATGCTCATATCTAATACAGATTCTACTGCTGACATAGAATGTTGAGAACTTCTGTAATGTTGTGTTTTGCTGATTAACGCAACCCTAAGATCCTTTGATTTCAAGCAGTCTCTCTGCTTGGTATGGTTAAATATAGGTTCAATTCAAGATTTACATTAAAAAACTTACTTTACCTTTTGAAAATTAGTTTTGTATCAGAATTACATTAATAGTTTTTATATATTGGGATAGTCTTGGGGAAACGGATATTATGTATCTCACTCCGGTTTATTCAATATGATCACTTGCTCATTAGGAAACCTTAATAGAACTGGGAATTTTGTGCATGTGTTGATGTATTGAAGAGTAAATCCCAACATGTATATGGACTGATGGATGATATTGGAAGATTGCACCCCTTTTAAGGGATAGGAGAGAATTTTGTTCAGCTTGTATTCATGTGTTCTTCATCAATATGCAAAATAGAATGGAATTCCCATTTGGCATTGTCCCATTTGCAAAATTAAGTGCCAGTATTAGGAAAACTGTGTCCAGAATGTACGTATCAGTGACAGCAGAGAAGAAAAGCTGTTAAAAATGTGCATGCATATTGTGAAGATACTGCACCAAAACACCAAATATTTAAAGTTGCAACTTTAATGTAGAAATGAGATGCTACAAAGAGAGGCACCATTTGAAGTGTGCTAGGTTTGATCAAGATACTAAACACCAATAGATACAAAGGCTTGGTGTGATCTGTGACCGAATGAGTGACTATACTCAAAAAATATGAAAAACCATGATAGCTTGTAAACCAGTGATGGTTTATTATAAGCTAGGATTAGGGGGCATTGATGTGGTTGTCTATCCACTCTGAGATCAAATAACATGGAAAGTTTCACCTGGCATGCAGACCACCACATCTCATCATGCTGTGAACCTGATCTTTGGCTTTGGGGAAATTATGGACCATGTTGCTAGCACCAAGGGGTTAGAATAAAGAAGCCACTGTGCTTTCCTTTCCTGCTATGATCATTCAAAGGTGGCCACAGTCCCACCAGGTCTCATCACTGCTTAAGATAACTTTCAACAAGGAACTCTTCCTCAAATGGAATCAGA